AGAAAAGTGTACCAAAAATATCAAAAAACAAGCCTAACAGGTGGGTGAAAATACCACCCACCTTGGAAAACAACCTGTTAAAATAGTACTGCCTTTCCTAAATGTATAGTCATTGTCATCCCAAACAAGACCCCCACAAAGATTTTCAAGAAACAGGTTGATTAAAAAATTCACATGAAATGCCCTGGCCAGTGTGGTTCAGTTGGTTGGAGTGTTGTCCTGTACACCAAAAGGCTAAGAGTTCAATTCCCAGTCAGGGCACAGACCCAGATTGTGGGTTCAATCCCTGGTTGGGTGTGGATGAGAAGGCCATCGATCAATGTTTCTCACATTGATGTTTCTCTCTCTTTCTCTCTCCCTGCCCTTTTCTTTTCTCTAAAAGCAATGAAAAAAAAATGTCCTCAGGTGAGGATAAAAGAATTTCACATGAAAGACAAAACCTAGAGTGGTCACGACAGTCTTGAAAAATAAGGATGAGAAATTAAAAACATACCATAAAACTATAGTAATTAGAATAATATATATTCAACAAAAATACTGAGAAAAAGCACCACATATACAAGAATCTGGTGCGCTTCGAAACATTTCTGGTAGTAAAGACGACAGTTCTGTTCTGCACAGGGAAAGTCAAGTCAGATTCATACTGTATGTCACTAAGAAAATTTCAGGTGGATTAAAGATTAAAAACGGTAGGGTAATATAAGTAAAATATAAGAAATATATTTAAAACTTTGGCATAAAGTCTTAAATATATTGGCATGGAGGGCTTTTAAAATACAAAATATAGATATCTTAGACAAAACTGACTTCTAAAATAGCGACAGCCACATCACATGCACATCAGCAACTAGAAGACGTGCAAAACAGAAATAAAATGTTCACAAAAGGACACGTGTGAAAACATTCATATGCAGCTTTGTTCATCCTAGCCCCAAAGTGTTGCAAGCTCAGGTGTTCATTCGTAAGACAATGCACACAGTGCGGTCTGTTCATACCACAGAATGCTACTACTCATCAATAAAAAGGGAATTACTGACCATTGTAATGTGGTTCTCAAAATCACGATGTTGAACAGGGAATCAGACACAAAAGACCACATATTACATGATCCCATTCAAATGATCCATAAAAGCTAATTTGTGTCAGAATAATATCAGAACAGAAATCACCCCTGGGGATTGGGGAAGGAGCATGAGGAACCTTCTGGAGTGATGATAATCAGGCTTCAGGTGACAGCTGTATCCTTGGTGAAAACTTAGCAAATGCACACTTAAGATTTATATGCTTTATTGTATATAAATTTGACCTCAAAAGTTAAAAAACCTTTAATAAAAAACTAACGAACTCTAAATTATATACATGTAAAGAATTCAGAGAGAGGGTGCCGATGGCTACAATTTATTTTGAGATACACCACAAAGTAAGATGGATTGATAGGCGGGTTGATATGTGATAAAGCTGGTACAATGAGATGTAGATGGCGGTCAAGGCAACGGATGGGTGCATGGTGATCTCTGTAAAGTTCCTTCAATGTTTCTGTACATTTGCAAACCATATGATGTTGAAAAAAATGATGAGCAACAGATTGCAGGAGAAATATTTCTAACATGTAAGAGATTTTTACTCAAAATATATAAAGAGCTAACGATCAATAGGAAAAAACGAAAAACCCAGCTGAAAATAATTGAAACCTCCGCCTCTCTCTCTCTCTCTCACACACACCCCCCCACACCCTCCCCCCCGAAAGTCTGGAAAAACTCACTCTCCTGCCTTGGATTGGAAGTAGGCTGGAAGCCAGAACTTGATTTGAAAATAAATGTGCATATATATACACACATACATACATACATACATAATTACAAGGCCAGATTCATGCACACTCTAAAATAAACCTCAGCCAGAGTCTTGAACCTTTCCAGCACTCTGTCCAGTGAGTAAAAGTGGCAAGTAATGCAATTACTTATTTAGGATTTTGTAGCTTATATCCCCAAATCAGCCTTTAATTTCTGCATCCCTACACTAGCCTACATTCAATGCGCAGCACAGGCCTGATCCTTCAGTGGGCACTTGTTGGCAGTTCCCTGGGGTCCGGGCAGATGTTGCAGACAAGATCTTTCTTCTGGAGCCCAAACAGACTTCCTGCCTTCCGGGTTTTCTTCCAGCTATGAGCTGGGCAAGGGTCTCTGCTCTCATTATTAATCAACATGGTTTGAAGCTGGCTCCCGACACCCACCCTTCCTGGTGCTGAGTCCTACCTAACCCTGAGTAGAAATTGCATTGTCTTGCCTGCCACATCAAACCTCTAAAAAAGAGCGAGAACTCACAAAACTTATACACAGGTGATGCACTCTGACTGGCAAAGGGTAGGTGTGGACATGTACATACTCACATACGATTTCAACTGTTCCACCACTGTCTTGTGAAACAAATCAAACAGCTCACCAAAATCAGTTGCAAGTTTTATTTATATAAAATTCATTAAGAACATAAAAGATCGAGTTTCTTAAAAAAAAAAATCTGCAGTTATTTACAGCAGTATTGCACAATAAAGTGGCAATTACCCTGTCAAAATTCATCAGTGCAAAACACAAGTGAGCCAGGGAAATTGCAATACAAACGCTACATATGCTGGGTCCTAGGAACACGTTAGTGATGAATCAGTATACATACAGATCAGTGCTCTTTATACAGGAGTACCTGATGAGTTTGGATACAGTAACTAGCGGTCACAGGACCTGGCCATAGAACTTAGGAGAACTTCTAAAGTCTGGAATTGCCCAATACAAGTAGTCAAGTTATTTTGCTGGGAGGTTGAGGATGCTTCTTGCACACCATGCTGTTGGAGTAGAACAGAAGCTACCCCAGCTGGTTTAGCATCATGTGTGTGAACACACCCCTGCACACACGTGTGCAAAGTGATCACACACAGGCACCAGGCTAAATCAGCAGAGATGACAGACCATCTACACCAAAACTCGAGAAAGCCTCTCTAAAGCTTCCATATCGTAACACCCACCCCAGTGGGACCCCCAACCTCTCTTGAAACAGAAAAACATCAACCTAAAGAATCAGGCTGATCAAATGAGGGACCAAATGGTTCAGAGCCAGGGCGGGGGTTGGTGGCACTGTACAATTAGCTCCTGAACACAATTTAGTCCATACCTCAAAGCACAGGAAGCCACACAGCGGTGGGGAAACGCAGTTCACCAGGCGCCAACAAGGGGTTAGTGGCATGAAGGGGTCCTGAAGACACTCTGGAAGCAGGAACAACCCCTCCCCACCTGTCCCCTGCCGTCTGAATACTGAATTGTCAGGTATACATTTTCAATGAAAAAAATCTGTCCCAACTGCCGCTAACACTTTTATTTATTTATTTATTTATTTATGACAAAAAAACTTGGAGTTAATAGAATTTGCTTTCATGAAAATCTAGCTATTTTGGAACAAACAGAAAGTCACTGGGTGTTTCTAGGAGAATTTTGTAGCCTGCCAGATTTATAGTCTCTCATTGGTGTCTAAACATGAGCTTTATCAAAGGATAGCAAACCTCAAGAATTTAAACCCCTTTGACCAGAAATACCAGGGACCAAAGCTGGAGGGCCACCCTGGGAAGACCGTGTGGCCTGCAGGGAGTGGCCAATCACCATCTCCGAGTTAAAGCAATTAACAGGATGGGGGGGTGTGTCAGGGAGGTCAACACTTTCCAGAACCTAAGACATTAAATAAGCAGGAAATAAATAGACAATATTTCTACAAGTTACAGCACTATGGACCAGTAGGACACATTACACAGAAAAAGAATCTACAATATTTACAATCCTCAATTTTGAAAAAGTTTAGTAAAAACAGTGATTTTTTTTTTTTGTTCATTTATGCTGTACAAAATTTTACAAGAAAGGTAAAGGAAACACAATTGCACACAGACATTTGGCTCAGTTGATAAGTAAAATATGATCTCCTAATCTAATAAATAGTCAAAATATGTACAATATTAAGAAGGGGAAACAAGAGAACGTTTGACTGTGTACATTTTTTTTTGTAAATCAAAAGAATTTTCACCTGGTTTCTCCATAACCAAAAAAAAAAAAAAAACACCTTCATAAACTGTTATCTAGCCAGGTGTACAGGTAACTTGAAGAATTACTCATGAAGTTATTTTAGGTGTGTTTATTGCATTTCTGTGATAATCACAGGACACTTTCTACAAACCTCATATGAGAAGAGGTGGTCAAGGCACAAAACCCGCATTTCATAAGTTTTCAAAAAGGGAGCTAGTTATTTTCTCTACAAAACAATAGAAAACAGAAAGTAAAAGGTATACCACAGTAGGTATACTTTCTGCAGGAGGCATCTTAATAAACAGATACATACAGTACAGAGACATCCACTCATCTCTCAAGTCCTGGTGCAACATCCTGTTCTTACTACTACTACAAGTCACAGAACCTTATTTCCTCACGAGCTGCATCCACGGCCCACTGCCACGCCGGAGGTAAACCAGTCCCAGCAGCAAGCCCTCAGCACCGGGCTTCATCCTGCGCTCCCAGAAACAGGGTAAAATGCTCCAGCCAGAGAGACTGGCACATGAGTACGGAGATCCTGGGAGGGGAGGGCCCAGAACCAAGTGTGTCTTTGGTGTATGTGTCCAGCAGGCTCACGGCTGCAATCCCACCACCACCTTACAGCCGTGTGGCCTTCATGACCCAGCAAGGGGGTTGCAGACCTACCAAGAATACAAGCTGAGACGCAACAGTTTTCAAAATATTCAAGACCCCAAGAAGGTATTTGGGGAAAAGAAAATTTTAAAAAAGGAAGAATATTTGGGATCAGATATCTCCATCTAAAGGAAGAAACATATATGCAAAATATATATATATATATATACACACACACACATATACATATATGTATACATATATATTTATATAAAACTATGAAGATACATATGAATGAATTTCTTCACTCAATTTAATAATGTGAAACACTGGTCCTCAATGGGCCAAAAGTAAATACAATAGTTGTTGGCATGGATGACTGATCTGAAAAATCACTTATCTCTTTTAAAAAGTTGTATCATGATCTGAGGTTTCAAAAACTGTAGGAATTAGAGGGTTCACAGAATGATCTGCACCTTCTTTCCTTCCTTCGCTCCTCCCTGCTCTCTAATCTCTCTTTCAGGTCTTCCCACAGTTGTTTCACTGCCTTTCAAATCACAGTCCAGCTCGTGGGCCCTGACTCACTGCAGTTCTCACAGGCCAGCTGGAGGAAGAGGAGGGTGCACAAAGGGAGGCCCGACAAACCCAACTGTCTCAAGAGAAACGAACAAGTAGACATCTGCCAGGAGAGACCATTTCAGACCTATGCCTGGTAGAACACTGATGACACTGGTCAAAGCAGAATTAAGCCTGTAGTTCAAAGTGGATGTAGAAGAGTGGGAACGAAGTGGTGGGCATCAAAGGCCAGATCAACTCTGGGTCGGATGAAAAGCCAGTATGCCCAAGAAACTGCTGTCCAAAGCCCCGTCCACAGCCTGTACCAACTCCTACGATGACTCTAGTTTGGAAACCTGTAGCCAAATTCAGCTGCAGGTGGGCGGGCCAGACACCTGGCACCTCATGCTGAGGGTGCCTTCTGTGATGAGGGGAAAAACATGCAACCAGAAAAGCCAACAGTGCCAAGGGCCCTAATACTGTTTCTGCGTTACCACTATCACCTCTTCAGAACACTTGTAAAACACAAGCCCACCCAACCACATGAAAACCAGCACCCAGCACTTCCCAGTTAGTAAGCTACCAACAGACTGGCTGACCTGTGGGTGACAGAGGCAGACTCTAAGTCACGTTGTGAGCCACTTATACTTTATCGTGAAGACACACTGGACCAAACTTGTGCATCCAAGTTTGATGAGATAGTGCCTGAGACAGACAGGAGAAGCATCACCAAAGGAAATAAGGAAAAACACAAAAAAAGAGGCTGAAATTTTGTCAGATGAACTGAATTTAAAGAGGTAAGTACATATTTACAAAATGGGAGTGGCATATCAATACAGGCTGACAAAAGACTCTTTGCCCCTTTAATCAGTTTCATTTCCTAAGGATTTTTTGGTAGTAATGATTAAAAAAAAGGTGAGAGGGGCAATGGCAGGGAGGGAGGGGCCATTATCATACATACCTCTCACGTTTAAAAATTCTGTACAGTAGCCTCTAAAAATAAACTAAGGCAGCTTTAGAAATTAGCTGGCTCAGTTTCCACTGCAGAGTTTACATAATCCTCTGAGAATAGGCAACAGGTTCTTAAATTGTTAGTACAAAAATCATTCATGAGTTGGTAAAAATTTCCATTTCCTTTTTGAAAAACTGTTCTTACATCACTCTTGCATAAAATCCTGCTCCAAAGAACCATGATTTGTACATTTTTTAAAAAAAGAGTATCAATCCTCATTTACATTCACAACAAGGTCAAGCCCGCACGTAGCTCCATGTGTCGGGACACACCAGCCTCTCCAGGAACAACAGCTGGTTGCGTAGCAGCGGCACCAGGAGGCCGTGGCGCTGTGCTTGTCGACTTGAACAAGTGAAATGTCTGCACACATCTTGGCTCCGCAGGGAACCCGTCGTCACTGCATCCTCCACACCAGACGGAGGATGTAACGCAACAGTCGTAAGACAACCATTTGGGGATGGGCTTCTGCTGCTTGGTAATTATTCAAAAAGACCTGAAACAACAAAAGAAAAGCTTCTTATTTTTTTCAGCCCTCACTGAAGGGAAAAATCAATCCCATCTCAAAAGCTATGGAAGGCAGCCCTTAACGTGCACAGTACCACTGAAGCCCCGTCCTCCCTGGGCCGGCCAATGGAGGACCTTCCCACCTCCCCCGCAGAAAAATATTTCACTCCATAAAGAACAGTCACACCAAATGATCTTCTTCTTCTTCAAAAAAATAATAACAATAATTAAGCAACCAAAAGAATGTTTGGAGAAGTCAGAGAAAATCAATTCTGGCATCTCCGTGAGCCCCCCTAAAAGCCACATGCTCTTGTCACAGGCAATGCCACCACTGGTCAGATCTGCCCTGGTCAGGAAATGCACTGGTTGTTGCGAAGGGAGCTGCCCACCTCCACGCTGGAGAAACACCACCAGGAGCACTGGAGCTGGTGTCCCGTGAAGAGGTAAGAAGGTGCAGGAGGGAGGGGAAGAATGAACTTGACAGATGTAGAGTAGCCTCCAGGCCAAGTTACTGACATTCAAGTATGTTTCAGACTCCCCCACGGGTGAACTTCTGGTGGCTGTAATTTACTTGAGAAACCAGTGATTTGGGGTAATGTGTTCCATGAAGCTAAATAAAGTGGTGCCCTGATGCGCCACTCCACCTTGGCTGTTTGCAAGTGGTTCCACTGCATTAACACTGTGGCCCAGCACTGTGCTCACGTCAGAGACACAAGCAAATTCCCCCAACTCCTGTACCCGCTGTGGGGAGCAGCAAATGAAAAATAAAAAGGCCTTTCTCCCAGTGTAAAATAAAAAGTTTACAACAAGCTGAGAAACAGTGCAGAAGGAAGGTGCCAGGTTATTGACAGGTCCCCGAGGCCTCAGGGCCCACTATGACTTCTAATCCACTTTGCAGCTAAGTTCAACCGTGTCCCCGGTCAGCTCTGCAGGCCACCCTAGTCAGTTCCTTATTGGGAACCCGCACCTGAGACCAGGGCTCTGCTCTCTCTGGGGAGTCTCCTAATGCTCACCAGCCATGGATCAATCGGTCACAGCCCCACCGGCCATCAGCTACCTGAAGACGGGGTCTCGAGACTGTTTCCACAAGCACTTGAGCACTTGTTGGACTGAACAGGATTGTGATAAGGCCAAGGCACTTCCTTTCTCCTTCCAGAACAGACTGGAGGAAATCAGCTCTCTGTCAGCGATTCCTGCAGAGCGCTCCGTAACCACAGTCTGTGATTTTATCTGTGTTGCACACCAGATTGCTTTGTTTTGATTTAACTTTCAAAATTACTTGGCTTCTTCTGTGTGAGAAGAATTTAGGGGAAGGTTAATTTTAGTTTAGATTAATATTAATAGGTTGAAAGAGGCTTATTCAAAATAAAACCACGACTTACTAAAATGGAGAAAGGGTGTGCAGCGCTGGGCTCAGCATCACTTCGAGATGGGAAATCTCATGTCAACCAGGTGTCAACGTGGCCTCAGCAGAACCAGAGAATGCGGTAAAAATGACACCACTCAGGAGCCCAATCACATCGGGGACAGACCCCAACTGTTTACTTAGCCGATTTTATATTCCAGAACCGGCAGTGTCTTAGAGGTGACACTTTGAGAACAGCAGGGTAACACAGGGGCTGTGATGGTGGAGGAGAAAAAGGTCACATCACGAGCGAGTTCTGTCCATGTTTTTAGAATTCTGCTTTTATCTCAAATATAAAGGACAAGGAGGGGATTCAAAGACATGCTGGAAGGGACTGATGCAGAGATTTGTACAAAGCAAATGCCTGAACACCTACCTAACTGCCAAGAGATGAGATGACGCTGCAATATCACATAGTTTTAGCAAGGATGCCAGAGCGCCTGCCCTCTAGAACAGCAAGCGTGACAACACGGCGCATGCTTGTAAGCCAGCAAACAATTGCTTTTGGGTAACAGTCAATGGAAGAAGCCATCACCACTGATTCTAAGGGCTGTGCCAGCCCTGACACAGCCGGCTGAAGCTGCTGCTGCTGGCTCCAAGGGTCCACCCCCTACCGCGGAAGCAGCTGGAAGGGCGTCCTGCTTCTGCAGGCTCGCTGCCCTCCAACATCTGCACCAAACACCTAGCTCAAGCACACTCTGGGCCTGTCAGCACTAACACAGGGCAGGCGGCACCGGAGCCAGGGCTGCAAGGACGTCTATCCCGGCCCCAACCATCAGTGCCATGTGAACCGTGTGCGCAGCCAACACGAGCTCACAAACTTCTGGCCGCCAGGACTGTGAAGAAACACATTTCTGATCTTTAAGCCCCACGCGTGGTCCTTTGTGGCTACAGTCTGAGCTGACTCCCACACCCTCTCACTCCTGGTCCTTCGTGCTGAGTGAAAAACAGCACCTCTTAAGTCAGAATCATGTAACACAGTTTAGTCTAAATCATAAAAACACTTTAGGGCCCTTGCTGGGTGGCTTAGCTGGTTAGAGCATCGTTCCAGGCACCAAAAGGCTGCAGGTTCACTCCCCGGTTAGGGCATGTTTGGGAGGCAACCAATCAATGTTTCTCCCTCTGTCTTCCTTCTGCTCTCTCGAAAGTCAATTAAAAGACATCCTCAGGTGAGGATTAAAAAAAAAAAACCCACTTTCAAAAGATATATTACAATGACTCATTAAAAGAACTAAATGAGCTATGAAGTACAAACAATTTGTGTATTATAGTTCCGTCTGTGGCCCACACACACTCACAGTCACAAGGACCTGAAGCTGTAGGGTCCCATCCCTTTTGGGGAATTTATCTCCATGGTCCAGATCAGGAACTGTACTCTGGGAAAACTGGCTTTATGGCGAGCCCACGTGTCTGCAAGGTGACTTCAACATCCAGTTTTGTGTCTCCCTCCAGGAGCCCATTCCTGACAGTCCACGCTTCTCCCTACAGGGGCGAAGGCTCCTGCAGCTCCAGACCTGCCTGCATGGGAAGGGTGGGGCCCTGGGCTCCAACTCTGAAGCACCTGCCTGCACTCACTAGGTCTGCTGGGCAGCACCTGTGCTACCCAGCAGCGTCTGGGTGCAGCCAGTCATGGAGGAAGACAACCCTGCCCGAGTGTAGGGCAGGAGCTGGGGTGTCCCACGGTCCCAAGACGGCGCACATGCAGCAGCCCAGAGCACTGAAGATAACAACAGCATCAGCCACCACGGAGGATCACCTATCACCTTCAACTTATATGCCCCAGGTTACACTGGGATAACTAATCAAGCAAGCACTAGGGAGTGTAATTACACTTTAATGCCAAAATAAGCACAACAAAACACGCTTTCTCCCCCAGTCCAGGGAAGCCAGTATGTGAGAAACAGAGGCCTTGTCTCCAGGCTGCCCGGGGAACTGGTAAAGTGGACCACTCACTACGCATGTGCCCAGTGCAGCTTTACTTTCCTGCAGAGATGAGCCGGCCTCTGAAAAGCTGCCCAGGACACATCAAGCCTCCCAGACTTTGTGTGTACAGCTTGGGGACAAGAAGAGTCACCCACTGCTACCACTAAACTAAACAACCCTTAGTGTGGTAGTTGAGACTGAGCTTGAGGTGAGAATCGAGAACCGAGTGATCCCAACAACTCAGCTCCAACTAGAGCAGAGCATGGAACCCAAGCCCACCAATCCACACTCCAAAAGTAGGGCCAGAGACTGAGTACAGCACACACACGCACTCAGCATCACTCCAAGGGGCTTGCCATAAAAAAAAACACACAGTGCTATAAAAACTGGAGAGGTCAGAAACAACACCAAGAAGAGAGACTTATCCTGGGAACCAGGGTTGCGGTGTGCTCCAACAGAGCTGCAATTCATGTAAGAGTTTCCTGGCAGTCAAGGTAACAAGGGAAACATGACACTATGTCCTTCAGCATTTCAAAGAGAGCTTAATACTAAATGCTAAGAGACAAATCAAAAAGCTTTGAGGCTCAGAGCAATTTTTTGTTAACTTACTCAAGAACTCCTTTCTTACAAGGTTTCAACAACGAACGCCCAAGATGTCCTAAACTTAAAAAAAAAAAAAAAATAGGTGTATCTTTAAGCGGTGACATCATAGGAGACTAAATTCTGGACTTTGAGGAAAAATGGATGCTGACAAAGAGAGAACTGCTCCAAGTTCAGGCAAGTGAGAATAGTGTTTGTCTGGGCAGTGTTTGCTTCCCCAGGGGCTGTCCTGGCATCTTCCAGGACAGAGCCGAGTGCTGTCATAATCAGAGGTGACAAGATGGGGAGGGGACAGAGAATGGCCCCAGTGTTTGAGGGAAGACCGCCATCTCTCTGCCCATTCATAACCCATCAATGTGGACAGTATTTTAAATGACAGATTGGAGGATAAGGAACCCTGTGTGATGAATGGAGATCTTTGGGAGATCTGGTCTCTGCCCACTTTGAGACCAAGGGACATAGTCACACAGCATCTCAGTTTGAATTTTATGTGGCTCCACCAGAAAACTACTGTTCTCAGGTGTCAGGGCTATGCTGCTGCAAAGCAGCCCAAAGACCAAATTCACTTTCTACTTGTCACCCAGGCAACATGAGCATTTGCATAGCTTGTGCCCAACACACTCTGCTGTCAGCACAGCTGTGGGCAGGGCACCAGGGAGCGCCTACGCCAGACGCGGTGCTCGTGCTTGGAAGCCAGCAGGGAGCTTGCCCGGGCACCTTCCAGACTCCTGAGACCTCGGCTGACCCTCCCGGGCAGCAATGCAATGTCCACATGTCAGAGCAGAGCAACATTTGCATGAATGTCACTGTCCTCCTGTTACTGATGCATCGTTTCAAAGACAGTGTTACAGTCATGGCCTTTTATAGGACAACTAATCACTCTTCCAGTTCACCTTAGTCAGGCCTGCCATGTACTGGGGCTGCCCTCACACAACACGCATGTCCACCTGCTGTACTATGTCACTGCCCCCCCGGCCCAGGGCCAGGCTAGCTGGACTAAAGAGCCCCCCATCACTTGTGAGTGGCCAAAGTGTGAGGGCCGACCACAGGGAGGCCCGGGA